ATGTGTCTTAGTTAGTAGTAATGGTAACAGAAATATGGAGTCAACCTTATTTTTAAGAAAACAAATCTTTTTAACTTCCCACCTCTTCTTTAGGGCCATGTCTATCCAATCTTAACCTAATGGAAATCCCCTTTATTTGTGGTAGCTTAACCAAGTCGCTATTGCTTCAACCAAAAGACTCTAATTCATACTGATTTCATTTTCTTGTCACTTAAAAAAGTGAATGCCTATATACAGAGCTCAGAAAAAGTAATAAGTAAGATAAATATTTGTGATACCTGCAACCAATGAAAATTGTATAAGCCTCGATGTTCAAACACCTTTTAAGAAACACAAAACATCCATTTCCCTCAAGAAACCTCTAAAACTTCCTTTAGAGCTTCTTGAGAATTCCTTATAAGAACTGCTTATATATAATAGAATTGAAAGAATAGATCAGTTTGGTTTTTAAAATGGTTACACTGTTGGCTCAAAGACTGATGAGAACCCTATTATCAAAAACAACAACAACAAATCATTTTTTAAAGAAAAAAATCCAACTCAGACTGCCTAGACTCTTCATAGAAGACACATTGTACAAGCTGTCTGGAAAAGCTCTCTATTTNGACTGCCTAGACTCTTCATAGAAGACACATTGTACAAGCTGTCTGGAAAAGCTCTCTATTTGGGAAAAAAAAAAAGTAAGCCAAAGATTCACTTAGAATTAAGTTATGAATATTTGTAAGTAATTCCAAGATCTACGGATACTTTCTGCAGTATTTCCTTCATTCTCTACAGAGATACACAGTGCTACAAAACTATCTTAGAAGTCCATCTTCCAGGACTATATGCTTGTTCATAGTGAAGAAGATAGGAAAATTAATAACTTATTGGTATTCTAGTATTTTTCAAATATGCATGTGCAATTCCTAGGGTTGTCCCATTTCGGGACTTTGGCATATGTGATCAAAAATGCATGAATAGGAGCCAGACAGAAGGCACAACATATGAGATGAGAAGAGAAAGATAGATAATAAGAAAGGACAGGGAAATGGGGGGAGGGGTTCAAAAGACCAAAAAAGGGGGACATTTGAGCATATATTATTGAATAAATGATAAGAATTTGTACACTGTAGGGTTCATAATAGTGTCTGTTATCCCACCCAAAAATAGTTCTAGATGGACAAACTAAGATCTTGAAATAGATTCTGACTTTACATTGGAACATACAATGACTGATGGGCTTCGAATTTTTTTTAAAAAGAAAATAAAAAAATGTCTATGACAGGACTTACATGACAGTGCAGAGAATGTTTCTAACAGCAGGTGAGCAGTGCAGCACTGTGGTGATATCCATAAATCCACCCCCACCCCCAGTGTACTAAGGGCTGTGACTGCTTATAAATTATGAGTATTTGTAAGTAACTCCGAAGAACTAAGGAGGTTTTCCATAGTATTTTCTGCATGCTCTACAGAGTTGAGGAGCACCACAACACTATCTAAGAATTCCACCTGCAGCTGGCCAGTTTCATGCCAGCTGTAGAAGGGACCCATGAACAAAGACAGAAGCATGGGGGGAATAAAGACCTCTCCAGCATCCTCTTCAGCACCAAGTGTAAACAGGGAGGTAACTCACTCTTCAGAGGATTAACCCTCCTGTCGGTTCCCCTGCACCCCCTGTGAACTCTGCCCCCGATGCCTCAGTGGGTGAGGAAGGGGAGGCACATGGCTGTTAATCCCAAGAATTCATCCTCTCTCCTGCACTTTCAGTTGTCCTATTTCCTTGGGGGGGGGGTGTGTGGAAAGTCCTCCATCCACTGGCTGGGTTCCAATGGAGAGAAAAGATAGCAGAAACTGCTTTTACATAGGAGGTAGATTTGCAAACCTTTTAGCATAAGTAGCTGTGGATTTGAGATGCAGCAGCTTGTTTTCCAAAGACAGTTTTCTTTCTATTAGTGTTCTCTTTTCCTAGGAAAAAACAAGATACAAGTTTTGTTTATTTGCATGTGTGTGTGTTTTTGTGTGTGTGTGTGTGTGTGTGTGTTTGCATTAGGGCATTCTTGCAAACTGTTCACAAAACATACTTTTTGTAATACTAGAAATTTGGCTTGAGCTGAAGAGCTAATTTCATATAAACTGTTAGAACCCACCCCGAGGAAGCCCGGCCAGGTGTTCTCCTTTGTGCTTTACAGACAGTGTAAAGGTCAGGAGCTCAGTGAGAGGGAGAGGTCAGGAGGAGTCATCTGCAATCCCTCACCTGCCTCAGGAGTTTTTGCTCCTCTCCAGCCCACTGCTGAATGTAGCCTTGTGAGGCTCAGCCTCTCCCATCCACCTTTGTCCATCCCACCCCAAACAAAAGCCTGCTCATCCCTGTCTAGACACCAGCTTTCCCTCTGCTGCACCTGCTTCTCCTGCATCAGACTGAGTTGTTGGTATCCAAGTACATTATTGCACTTAGCTTGACACCTCTACCTGCTCATATGGCATCTATCAGAGGGTAGCAAAGTTGTAAATGTATTTTTAATGAAGGATCAAGGCCACAAATGATAAAATTACTTCCTAATTAGGACTTAGGAGAAACTATGACAGTAAGAAAAAATATCTGGAAAAAATGTCTTAACTTAGTTATTAAACTAAACTCTTCTCATCCAAAAGGAAAACAGACAAGTCCATGAAGAACCAAGCTGGTATGATTGTATTAATTTTATATTTGATGGCAACATGCTGAAAAAAGGAATCTGAATCTTTGGCCTGCAGGTTTAGATTGCCAAGTTGGGGGAAATCAGAAGAGACTGAAAAAAGGCAGAAATTGCTACTGGCAACATGGAGGAATTGAGTGTAATAGATGTTTTGAAACTATTTACAATGGTGTTTAAAGTCAACTACCTGCTACAGTATTTATATTGGTATTATACAAGGCAGTTCTGTATAGCAGAACATCAGAAAGACATTGCACATGGACTGATCTGATTTTGAAATCTTGGCCAAGGTTTTAACCTCGCTGAGCCTTATCATTGTTAATAAAAATTAACCAAAACTTGTAAATAAAAACAATATACAGTATGTGGTTTTAATGTCATATTGCATCATTGTTTAATAATCTGACCGAAGAATTATTTAATTTTCTCAAAGAATGTCCCTGTGCTTGACTTTATTATTAATTATTTGAAGAGAGCCCTGACTCTGTGAGGTTGCATGTTAACTCAGAGATTTCTGTCTGGTAGAAAAGATAATCCCAAAGGATATGGTTTAATTGCCTCAAAGAATATTAACCAAATTTTTATCTGAACTAGTAATCCTCTTCAATATATATATTTTAAAATGCCTATAAACAGCCAGTTTCTCAAAATATTTTATTCAAACTAGCTTTACTATCTTACTGGTTCCCCCAATTAATGCCTTTAATAAAACATTTGACATATATTCATTCTATATTTGTAAAAGTCATGTTTTTAACTTTTTGAACATCCCTAAAATGGGGTTAATATTACCTATACCAAAATGTTGGGGTGATTGGAGATAATATATGTGAAAGGCCTACATGCTTCCCTGGCACATAACTGGACCTCAAAATAAAATAATTTGAAGATACCAATTACTTCATATATAATGTGTTCTGTCAGTTTTTAAGATTATACAACCAAATTTTTCTTGTAGCATTTTTGCCACATAGAAATTGTCCCGGTGTAGCCCTAGTTGTGTTCAAATTATTTTGAAGGGATCCCAGATACACCTTGCAAACTTATAACGATGCTTGGATTATCAAAGAAACACATCACAGATAATGTGTTTTGAATTTGTAGGGTGGGGGGAAATGGTGTTTACCAAGGGTTCTTCCTATGGGACTTGCTCTTGATGAATGGATTGGCATAACGAGAGGCCAAGGATATCAGATAACTGGACAAGTAAATGATCTGCCTTGGCCAGGGCTCAAGCTTCTGGCTTGGGTTATTAATACCTTCTCTTTCACAACACAGAAAATCACCCACACCAGCTAGCACTTGTCAGGTACAGTGTCTTCTCAAAAGGGAAAGGGGGCTCACAGTGCCACCCAGTGGGCAATCCACTGTGCCCAAAGTCACACCTCTCGGGAGCTCAAGATTTCCCTCGTTCTCTTGATCGGAGTCATGTAGACACCAACTTAAACCACTTAAACCATTACCAACCCTTAACATCTAAATGATTTAGGAACCAAGGATATTTTTATCCAGCACTCGGGAGCTCAAGATTTCCCTCGTTCTCTTGATCGGAGTCATGTAGACACCAACTTAAACCATTACCAACCCTTAACATCTAAATGATTTAGGAACCAAGGATATTTTTATCCAGCATCAGAGAAGACAGGGGCATAGAGGAAAGGGTTGTGAACTGGAAACTGAAGGATTATGGAACAGTTCCTTGTTCACACTGTCCTCATTGATAAAATGAGGATGAGGAACTAGGTGGTCTCAAAAGTGCCCTTGGGCTCTAAAATTCTAATAGAGCTAAATCAATGACACAGGAAAACAAATATGATGCAACAGAACTCCACTGCTAGCGAAAGGAGCATATGCCATATTAAAATGCTCTTATTGGGAGTTTTTGCTAACTTATCACTGTGTTTATGGGATTCATTCTCACTGCATTCCTGATTAAAGTGGCACAGATGGTGAAGGTTTTAAGTAATGTGTTCATTACCAGACCTCCTGCCACTAATGGCTACTTCCTGGAGCAGTGGCTTGTTCAAGTGGGCAGCAAATGAATCCTTCTTCAGGGGGCACCCACTACCAGGGCAGTATTTATCAACCTTTGTGAGGATGTTCATTTTTAATTTCTATTTCCTTTTTGAACTCATGTCTTTTTCCTATTAATACAAGAGTCTCAGTGCCCCCTCCCCTCATTCTAATACACACTCCCCACCTGAGAAACCTTCCTCACAGCCTGTCTTCAGAGTATCTCCTCAAACCAAGAAGATGTTGCCAAACTTTGCTTCTTATAGTTTTATTTATTTGCTCGTTTGTTTTACAAATATAAAATAACTTACAACTAAACATGTTGAAAAAACAAAAAACGCCTGCACATGGCTCCCCCACTCCATCCCCATTTACCTCCGCCTTCCAGACCTTCCGATAGGCTCCACTCTCGGAAGTCACTGAACTAGAGTGTTTTGCAAGTTGGAACATGGCCTCGCTGAGCCATGGGCATCCTGTCCGGTTACTCTGGCACAGAGCTCCTACAGCAGCTCACCGTTATGGGTCAATGTCAAAGCAGGAGCTGGGCCGTCACTTCTCAAAAATGTCCTGCCAGTGTCAGAGCCACTAACCTTATTCTTACATTCCCCTACCTTTAACAGGGCTTTCAGCCTCCCTACAGGGCCCCTAGGAGAATGAGAAAAGAGAGATCTGGGAAGTCCCTTGATATTACATCGTAATCTCCACAAAAAGACACTACGTATGGTTCATTCACAAATATGTATCCAGCTCCTAGCTCTGTGTGGCACATGGTAGGTGGTCAAATATTTATTGAATCAACCATCAAGTACACCCCAGAACTCTGAGATGACTCACATCTAGTACAGCCTTCCTGCGGTTGCTAGGAAATAGAAATTATCTTCCATCGTTCCACTGTTAATTTTTAGGCACTGACAGGTGGCCACTAAACCTGACCCAGTGTCACTGGGTTTGAGATAGGGTGATTGCAAGTCTAAACTTAAATTTCAAGCTGGATAATCAAGTTATTTGGTTAAACAACCTTGTTTGCTTTACAGAATTGTCTTTCTTTCCTAAATGCAAACATCCTTTGTGCTATCTTAATTCGTTAAACTATTTATTACAGGGTGAAGTATTTAACACTACCAAGTACTCAATCAAATACTACAGTGTTTGCAAAACAGCGTAATTATAAACTGTCATGCCTGGATGAACCAACTGCTTAAGGACATTGTAGCCCAGTGATTCTGCTAAAGTATAGTCCACCGTGATCCACCATGTAATATACATACAGCTGTATATTTTATTCTTATAATTAGATCCCGGTTAGTTTGGGCTTATTTAATTTTTGTGATTTCCTCATAGGGCCTTCATTAAGATGACAAATACAACTTTAAATTCTTGGGAAATATTTTAAACTAATCAAAGTTCCTCTGGAAAGAAACATCAAAATTGAAATGTGATCCATTTGAAGTGACATGTCTAAGGTGGCATAAACCCAGGCAGACTCATAAAACAAATTAAGACTGAGAATAGCAGAGGCAAATCAGAGAATTAATACAACAAATATAAAAATTGATTGGACAGGGCCGGCCCGGTGGCGCACTGCTACAGTGCGCCGCTTGGAAAGCACAGCGGCGCTCCCGCCGAGGGTTTGGATCCCACATACAGACCGGTTCCCGCTCACTGGCTGAGCGAGGTGCGGGCGCAACACCGAGGGTTGCGATCCCGTTGCCGGTCCCGGTCCGGTACGGGGGCAACACTGAGGGTTGCGATCCGTTGCCGGACACGGAAAAAGACAAAAGACAAAAAAAAAAATTGATTGGACAATATGTACCGGAAGCCAAAGCCTACATTCTTACCTACTCACAATTCAGTTTCAGAGATGCCAATTTTCTATTTGTTTTACTATTTTAAAAAAATATTCCTTGAGTTGTCTGAATTCTGCATTCTAAGGTATGTATACTGTGTTCATCTTTTGTAGGTATTTGGAGTGCCAGTCACTTAAAGAAACACACACGAAACTTTTTATAGTTTTAGTCCTATTATTAATCTTCCCTAAATATACCTCTTGAAAGTTCCAATTTTCATAAAACAGCTTTTCTTCACATGAACTATTTCTTCCTCATACAGCCATAGGTTTCTACAAGCCCAGAGTGGACCTGGGTGGCCAAAAATGAATACTACACCCACTCTAATATGCAAAAATGCTCTGATTACAGATCTACTTTATTATTACTTTGAATAGGTGGACTTTGTGATCTTTTATTTCTANTATTTGGTTAAACAACCTTGTTTGCTTTACAGAATTGTCTTTCTTTCCTAAATGCAAACATTCTTTGTGCTATCTTAATTCGTTAAACTATTTATTACAGGGTAAAGTATTTTAACACTACCAAGTACTCAATCAAATACTACAGTGTTTCCAAAACAGCGTAATTATAAACTGTCATGCCTGGATGAACCAACTGCTTAAGGACATTCTAGCCCAGTGATTCTGCTAAAGTATAGTACTCCGTGATCCACCATGTAATATACATACAGCTGTATATTTTATTCTTATAATTAGATCCCGGTTAGTTTGGGCTTATTTAATTTTTGTGATTTCCTCATAGGGCCTTCATTAAGATGACAAATACAACTTTAAATTCTTGGGAAATATTTTAAACTAATCAAAGTTCCTCTGGAAAGAAACATCAAAATTGAAATGTGATCCATTTGAAGTGACACGTCTAAGGTGGCATAAACCCAGGCAGACTCAGAAAACAAATGAAGACTGAGAATAGCAGAGGCAAATCAGAGAATCAATACAACAAATATAAACATCGATTGGACAATAGGTACCGGAAGCCAAAGCCTACATTCTTACCTACTCACAATTCAGTTTCAGAGATGCCAATTTTCTATTTGTTTTACTATTTTAAAAAATATTCCTTGAGTTGTCTGAATTCTGCATTCTAAGGTATGTATACTGTGTTCATCTTTTGTGGGTATTTGGAGTGCCAGTCACTTAAAGAAACACACACGAAACTTTTTATAGTTTTAGTCCTATTATTAATCTTCCCTAAATATACCTCTTGAAAGTTCCAATTTTCATAAAACAGCTTTTCTTCACATGAACTATTTCTTCCTCATACAGCCATAGGTTTCTACAAGCCCAGAGTGGACCTGGGTGGCCAAAAATGAATACTATACCTACTCTAATACGCAAAAATGCTATGATTACAGATCTACTTTATTATTACTTTGAATAGGTGGACTTTGTGATCTTTTATTTCTATTCACAGCCTCGCTTGGTTCCTCTTTATAAGATGTATATTTACCAGAAAAGAGAAAGAGACAGACAACGATGACTACAGTATTTGCAGAGAAGTAAATCAATAACTATAGTGCAGCTCGTATTCAGTGTTTAAGAGAAGAAACTAACAGTATTGAGTACTTCCTAAGACCAGGTATTACACACAGTACTTTCATTTAATGTTATCTTATTTAATGTCCTATTTCATTTATTTAGTGTTATTTTCTTTTGTTTTTAATCCTAACCCCATCAGGGAAAACATCCCTTTAATTCTTACAGGGCTCACCTTTTCCATTCTCTGGACAAGGTTCTCCAATTCTGTGACTTGACTGTGTTTTTCTTCAAGTTTTTCAGCAACTTGACTGAGATTTCCAACATGTTGTTGCAATTTCTGTTCTTTTTCAAGCTTGTTAACCTTTGGTGAGAAAAATAGTTGTCAAACTCTTGGTTTTTTTTAAGCCAAAACATATATTATCTCCTTCTATAATTTCCTAACTAGCTAAAAAAATTAAGAATTCATACTTGTTTGAAATCACTCATTTGATTTCAGTGTTTCCTCTAAAATAAACCTGATGGGCTACAAAAACACTAAATCAATAGAGAATTAATAATATATAAATATTATTCCTAGAATGTTTACATTTGTCACCATAACGTATACTTCTTGAACTGGATATGAAAGAGAAATAATAATTTAAGAAAAGCAACATTTTTTGCTTTTTCTCAAGAAAAGTTATCTTGAACAAAAATCAAATCTTATATACCCAACTAAAAAATGTTTTATTTTTACTCATAAAGTGTCATAAAAACAGAATAATTATCCCCACTGTGTCAAAAGGTTACTTCACAGGCACACAGCAGTTGTGCTGAAAGACCAGAGAAGAGATGTCTCCATCTGGCAGCCCATAGGCCACACTTGGGAATGTTTAGACCTCCTTCTAACATGCACACACATGTCTGCATGTGTATTTAACAGAACTCAAAATTTCACAGTAAAAAATAGAAGTGTCTGGCTTTCTTTGAAAACACCTGGTGGGGCATCCCTGCCAGGCCAGTCCGGGCTGGGGCTGAAACCCCATCACTGGGACATGTGCATCTTCCCCTCAGGGCCCACTGCTCACACAGCGCACCTCCCATCCACACCTGCCAGTTCATGTCACTCACTTAAGTTCTTCATCCGCACCCTGCATGCAGGTGAGTTTGCAACCATCACAGCCTGAAGCATGATAGATGTCACCTTGGCAGTGGATTTCCTACTGTGCCCCCCTGGGGACCTCCTTATGGCCTGAGTTGGCAGAGACCCAGGCACAGCCTCACCCCAGCATGAACGAACTTCCCCTTAGCTGATTTGTATTTTGAGTTTCAGTAAACACACCCACATACATACACACACAGACACACACAGTTTTTTCTCCTCTAGTCCTAGAACACATTTTTCAGATAAAGCTTTATTGATCCTGGTAAACATCAAATTTAAAAACAAACAAAAAACACACTTTTTTGACATGTTTTTATATTTTTATTTATATATACTTATATATTAAAATATAAAATTCTATTACTTTTTTTATAATATAGATAAACATACATACATGTTTTTTGTTTGTTTTTATTTTTTAACCTAAAAAATGTATCCTAGGACCAAAAAAATTTGTAACCATATCTCTAGACTAACTCTTTCATTCTAGAGACAAGGAAACTGAAGTCTAGAGAGGCAGAATGACTCTAGTCCAGGTCATCTAGTGATCCAAAGGCAGACCTAGGACATAAGTCATCAGCCGGGTCACCTGGGCCGGCCCTGACTCGCAGGCAGGTGACACTGCCTCCCTGCCACCTGAGCTCACAGGGTTCTGGGAAAGGACAGCAGCACAGCAGCTCAGCAACATCTGGCATCAGGCTAAGCAGGGCTGGGGAAATCAGCACCTTGCCTCTTCCTCCCCGCCCCCCAAAGCTGGCCAAGTCACATGACCATTGCTTATTTCACACTTAATACCTCCGAAAAGAGAGACTGAATGGCCCAGGGTGGGGGGTAGTTCTCCAATAGACAAGCTGCTAATCGGTACCTGGAGTAAGCGTTTACTGTCTTCATGCTTTTTCCTGACTTCTTCAGATTGTGCTTGGTAGTTTTGAAATAATCTCTGGGCCACGTTTCTCAGAGCCGCTGCTCCTGCCTCTCTGGAGGCTTCCAGCTAGGAAAAAAGGTCACTATGCATGTTTTGATATTTACAATAAAAAAGGTTAAAGGCAGACTAGTTTGATGGCAATTAAACACATAGAGGCTGTAACTGCACCTTTTATGCCCGCATAGTCAATGGACAGGAGAAATGACACTGTTACCTGGTAAGAGGAAAATGCAAAATGAGAAAGCCCCTATTTATGGGGGCTGTCAACACAGACAGACTTGTTCTGGCCAAGACCAAACAGAGCTCTGTGAGCTTCGATGCCTTGCTTTTATAGACCACACCCTTCAAAGGACTCCACAGTGCCCTATCAGCTTGTACACTTATTAGCAAGCCTTTTCTCATTGATGACCACAGCAGTACTAAAAGGTGTATCTTCCTAAAATAGAAGTGGGACAAGGTTGAAGTTTTAAGGGCAACAAAACTAGAGTCTCTTGAATCTTTCAAGGATTTAACCTAAGGAAATAATCAAGGATGGCTACAAAGATTTACCTACCAAGATATTCATTGCAGGATTAACTACATATCAAATAAACACCCAAAAGGAAAATATAAAGCATACAACAATAGATTAATTAAACAAAAAATGAGACATTTGGCAATTAAGGCTATAATTGATACTTATTAAATACATAAATACACACACAGTTTTTAAAACTTATTGTGGTAAGAACACAACACGAGATCCACCCTCTTAAATTAGTAAGTGCACAGCACACTCTTGTTAACTATGGGCATGACGTTGTAAGCAGTTCTCTAGAACTCATTCATCTTGCATAACTAAAACTTCACTGAACTTTTGTAAGACTTTTTAAATAATAAAAGTAGTCTCTAAAATAAAACAGTGACATTTAATTTGTGAAATACAAAATGCTTCTCTGAGTATGTGAGCATATGTGTAGACCTCTGGATGGTGTGGATGTCTCTCTGCTTTTACAAACCCTGAATGCTAACTATCACTAGCTCCAAGGCTCAAAATACACAATTTGAAATTTCTCCTGTTAGTCATACCTTGATTTTCAATACTTCATTTTCTTTGTTCACTTCTAAGAGCTGTAGGTCTTTCCCTTTCATCTTTTCCATGAGTGAATCCCAGCTACAAGAAGAGGGATCCGTTTCAGCATCAGAGCCATTCTGAGTGTTTCCACAGCGCTGAAATGGACAAACATGAAAAACACAGACCTAACTATCCCTTTCCTCTACAAACTTTGACAACAATAATTACCATTCATTATATAAGAGGGGGGAGAGGGAGGGAGGAAAAGGAGGAATTGATAAAGGGACATGAAAATCAACTATATCGTATATTGATAAATCAAAATAAAATAAGAAATAAAAAAAGAGGATTCAGGTCAGCACAAATAAAACAAATCTTTTGAATCTCAAACATCAATGGGGAATTCTAGACGCAGCAGCTGGCCTCTATATTTGCTTAAATTTTAACAGATTCTCATATAAAAAGATGTGGAACTACAACTTCTATGCCTTTTATATTTCCTACAATTTCAAATATATTGTTAAATGCTTCTTAGGAAATAAATAATACCCACAAGGCCAGATTTATTTTTTTCTAAGTTGTGGACATGAATACATTTTGGTTACATTGCATTATAGATCAATACAATCAGACCTAATTGTTATAAAACTTAACATTCACTGCTCAATGGTGCTTCGCTGTAATCACCTAATATTAAATTTCCAACCAGAGATATAAGAACTATGTGTTAATACCAATGTAACTCTACGTAAACTCTAACTCACTGAAAACACACCAAGAGCATAAATCTCATCTGGAATTGTAGGCACATGTAGGTGGAAGAGAAATCAGAAAGCATCTAACTTAACCCATCAGTTTTATAGATACAGAAACTGAGGATCAGAGCCCAGTTCACGGGGCAAGTGAGTAGCAGAGCTCATGGCACAGGCTCCTGATCATCCTTCTGTGCTCTTCCTGCTCTTTCAATTTACTTCAAGGTAGACAGAGAAATTGCTGTACAATTACACCTGTCCTACAATTATAACAACCTCTGTTCATTAAGCATATATCATGGGCCAGGTCATCTTTTACATGTTTTTTTTTTTTTTTTTGTCTTTTTCCGTGTCCGGCAACGGATCGCAACCCTCAGTGTTGCCCCCGTACTGGACCGGGGACCGGCAACGGGATCGCAACCCTCGGTGTTGCTTCCCGCGCCTCGCTCAGCTAGTGAGTGGGAACCAGTCCGTATGTGGGATCCGAACCCTCGGGCGGGAGCGCTGCCGTGCTTCCCAAGCGGCGCACTATCCAGTGCGCCACCAGGCCGGCCCATCTTTTACATGTTTTATATACACTCCTTTGTCTGAATACTTAAAACACCAGAAGGTACTACGCTCTTTATACAGGCGAAGAAATCGATAATGAGAGAGTTTAACATGCTCAAGCTTATTCCCT